CCCCCTCCTCTCTGCCTTCTGCTGCTGTAGTCTTCTTGGGAGGACTTCCTCCCATGCTGATTAGAAGGGGGCCAGTGGTAGCTCCGCCCCTGCTGGGTGCCAGCTGCACTGTGTGCTACAGAGGGAGCAGGGATATGACGTTCATATCCCCGCCCCCTCCATACAGTCCGCGGCACTGCAGGTTGGCGCTCGGCCACGCTACAAGAAGTGACTGGCAGGAGAGGGGAGTTGTGCGCTTCCCTCCTGCCGGTCACCCGGACATTTGCGCCCCCGGGCCGGTGCGCCCTAAGGCGGCCGCCTGTGCCGCCTTATGGACGCGCCGGCCCTGGTCCAGCCTAAGGCATAACTGTGCCATAATCAAGCTGTCTAATCAGCATCTTGATATGCCACACCTATGAGATGGATGGATTATCTCGGGAAAGGAGAAGTGCTCACTAACACAGATTTAGACAGAATTCCAAACAATATTTGAGAGAAATTGGCCTTTTGTGTACGTAGAAAAAGTCTTAGATCTTGAGTTCAGCTCATGAAAAATGGGGGCAAAAACAGGTGTTGAATTTTGTTCAGTGTGTGTGTATGTATATATATCTGTATGTATGTTGTGCTCAAAAGTTTACATACCCTTAGAGAATTGGTAATACATTTACCATTTTTAAAGAAAACATGAGCAAGCAGGCAAAATAAATGTTTTTTTCATTTCTGCTCAAAAGTCTACATACCCTTAGTTCTTAATACTGTGTATTGTCCCATTTCGCATCAATGACAGCATGCGGTTTTTGTAATGGTTGTTTATGAGGCCCCTAATTCTTGCAGGTGGTATAGTTGCCTGTTCATCTTAACAAAATGCCCCCAGGTCATGCAAATTCTTTGGTCCTCTTGCATGAACCGCACATTTGAGATCTCTCTAGAGTGGCTCAATGATATTAAGATCAGGAGACTGTAAAGCCCACTTCAGAACCTTCACCTTTTTCTGCTTTAACCACAGGTGCTGTCAACTTGGCCTTGTGCTTAGGATCTCGTCACTTTAAATTACAGTGCGCAAGAAGCTCTGAGGCATGTCAAGGTGTTGTTGGGAATATTGTAACCAGGCTTTTTTTGTGGCATTGGCTGGCAACTCGACCATGCAGCTCTTTTTTTGTTAAAGTATTGTCATATTGTGCTACTTGAAACAACCACATCGTCTTTTTCCAGAGGAGCCTGTATTTCTCCTGAGGTTATCTGTGGGTGTTTCTTTGAATCCTAAACAATTCTTCTGGCAGTTATGGCTGAAATGTTTCTTGGTCTACCCAACCTTGGCTTGGTATCAAGAGAACCCCAAAATTTCCACTTCTTAATAATTGATTGAACAGTGCCAACTGGCATTTTCAAGGCTTTGGGTATCTTTTTATATCCTTTTCCATCTTTATAAAGTTCCATTACCATGTTATGCAGGTCTTTTCTGCTCCCCATGGCTTAGTATCTAGCTTGCTCAGTGCATCTACATGAGAGCTAACTAACTTATTGACTATTTATACACTTAAAATGTAAAAAACCACCGATGTGGGAAATTAACCTTTTGATTGCCGTTTTAACCTCGGTGTGTCACGTTGTGTGTCTGTCACAAGGCAAACGTTCAAGGTTATGTAAACATTTAATCAGGACCATTTGTGTGATTTTTGATGTAATGATTTTAAAAGGAGCCAAACAACTATGTGATAATAAATGGCTTCATATCATCACTATCCTTCAATAACAGAAATTTTTTGCATAATCAGTCATATTTTCAAAATCAATGCCAACTTTTCACAATTTCTGCCAGGGTATGCAAACTTTTGAGCACAACTGTGTGTGTATGCATGTATGTGTATAAATTGTGTGTGTGTGTGTGTGTGTGTGTGTGTATGTATATGTATATATATATATATATATATATATATATATATATTCCCCAGATCACCATGGATGTTCTGTTTATCCTTATTTGATATGCTGCCGTGACTTTTTTTGTTTAACCCCTTAAGGACGGTGGGCGTAATATGCCGTCCTTGAAGGGGTGGACCTAAATGACGAAGGGCGGCATAGTACGCTCAGCCGTCTTCCTGCTGCCCTACACTTAGATGGACCAGCAGTCCTATTTGGGGGGGCTGCCCAAGAGCTCAGCAGTCCCCCTGCAGCAGCTACGGCCACTCTGGCCCTCCAGAGCCATGTGATCACCATGATCACATAGCCATAATAGGAGTCTATGGAGCTGCCTACAGGGGGACTGTCTGAGCTGTCAGGCAGTCCCCCAGGCTGCTAAAATGTAAAAAAAAAAAAAGAATTAAATTATCTAATATAATAATATTATATAACAAAGCATTTTATGATATATTATACATGTATAATGCATATATATATATATATATATATATATATATATATATATATATTTTGTGATAAGGTGAATGGGGTGGTCTGTGAAGGAGCCTATATCTCGACAGAATTGTTCAGAGAGGCATATGATTTTTAACCCCAGGGGGAGTGTATGTTTCTGTGTATGTAACCAGAATGAATATTTAGTTATGGGCCCCTGGGGTGGAGCATTTGGAGAGCAGGGTGGGCCAGTGCTCCACTCCGCAGTTTAGCGATTTTCTTGGAAGACATAGATCCAGCCCAGGGTTTTGGACTGTCTCCAACCTACTGCTCAGCTGCAGGTAATCGGCTACAGCAGTGGGAAAATATTCCCTCCCTGCTAGGCAGGTAGGGAGAGAATGTTTTGTTTCTCTCTGAAAGGCTGGAAGCAGCAGGCTGGCTAAATACTGGAGTGCTGAGAGTGGACAAAGACTCTAGGTTGGTGAAACCAATATTGTTTTGTTTAGTTTAACCCTGAGAGATAGGGAACCTAATGTCAGTTAGTGCTCAGACGAGCTAGGTTTTTGTTTATAAGGTTTTGTGTTACATTTATGTTTTCATTTACTGCTGTATCCTGTGTGGATTTACAAATAAAGTGCCTGGAGTATATGCAATTACAAGGACTGTGCCTATTGTTTACCCTAGAGGACCGTGCTACCTGTATATATACACACCAATGTAGGATGACCAGCACTCACGGATTTCCAGCAAGTAATTAAAAAGTAAAGTTTTATTAATCCATATCCATCAGTCCTCGTCTGGGACTTTCTTCAGGAACAAACAGCCATATCACAAATCTAATATATATAATACACATAATAATTGTAAATAAACTTACCCCAGGTGTACCGGATCCCCTGAGTGCTTCCGCCCGCGGCTCCCAGTGTGCACTGCGCATGCGTGACGTGCTCCGCCCCCACTGCACGTGATGCCGTTGTCGTGGAGATGTCGGAATAAGCTGCGTATACATGGCAACCGTAATTTACACTGACAAGGTTGTAAAAGACAAAGGTGCTGAGTGAATACTACAAAATAGCATTGAAAAGATATCCAAGTGTTGAACATCTATTCTAATAATCAGACCAGTGTAGTGATACTAATAATATCGTGAAAAGAGTGAATTGCTTAGATACCTAATATAGATTGCACTTAAAGAGGCAATATATGCCATTTAAATCCTTTTATCTACAATGAATGGATTTATAAAGTGCATGTGTTAATAAAGTGATTGAGCAATAAATGCAATATATGCCATTTAAATCCTTTTATCTACAATGAAAAGATTTATAAAGTGCATGTGTTAATAAAGTGATTGAGCTAATAAATGTAGAGTGCTTAAGTGCAGTGCATATAAAAGTGCAGACTATAAAGATTGTAGAAACCTACACAAGGCACAATGGTGGCCGGATATCTGCAGTCAGGGATTGGTGACCCCCAAACAGTGAAATATAGAGACAACACGAAAACAAATATATACATATTAATGGAGATAGATAAATATATATATATATATATATAATAAAGTTAAAAAAATGAAATAAAAACAAGCTACAGGGGACTCATATAAATGAGTGATAGGAAATCATCTCATTTAGTCCTTTGGGAGCTATAGTGTCCAAGCTGTAAATCCAAAAAGTCTCACGGTGATAGTGTAATGTATATGTAAGCTCTTGTTTTTATGTGGATGTTGGAAAGTGCACAAAGGGGTCATATGGCCACGAGTAACACAACCCAAGCATCGAATACTGATTTTGTGTAACAGTTCCCTTTTCATAACTTCTCACTGGATCTGTATGGACCAATAAATCTCTCAAATTCTTGTTTCTGCGATAACACATTAGAGGTGGTTCTTTAAACACTTTAGGGAGCATGTCATCACACGCTATCATTTTCCAGTTGTCCCTCACAATTTTAGAGATCTTTGGAGATGCATCACAAAATGTAGTGGGAAAGATCAATCTCGGGGCTTTCTTATCCACTTTAATCAAGCTGGCAGACTTTGCCTCTTCTAATGCTTTGATTAAGTCTTTGTGTCGATAGCCACGTTTACAATTTTTTTTTTTTTACCATCTTTTCCAATTGTTCATCCATCTTGTTCTCGTCCGAGTTGTTACTGATTACCCTAAGGAACTGAGCTTTGGGCAAAGATTTTTTCAAGGCTTCCGGATGTGCACTTGTTCTATGTAAGATGGTACTGTGATCTGTCTCTTTCTTAAAGAGGTAATATGTAAGCCCTTGTTCATCCAGAGAGATTTCCAAATCCAAAAACTGCACTGAGGTAGTATCTATCTTGGATGTAAATCTAATTGGACTCTTCACTTGATTCAAAAACCGTACCATATCTATTGCTTCTGTCGTACTGCCACTCCAAGATCATCGATGTAACGGAAATAGCCTTGGATAAATTTGCTATATTTTGTAAGTATCCATCTTTGCTCATATATGCATTGGCATACATAGGAGCCATTGCGGCCCCCATGGACGTACCGAAAACTTGGAGGTACCATTTGTCTTCGAACCTAAAATAGTTATTGCTCAAAACCAGTGAGAGTAACTCCAGGACATATTCAATAGGTGGTCCCTCATAAAAACTCGAGGAGGTGAGGACAGATCTCATAGCCTCCACACCTTGTACATGCGGGATAACCGTATAAAGGCTACTTACGTCCATTGTAATGAGAACTGTAGTGCCCCTCTTCAGTTTCAACTGTTTCAGTTTCTGGATGAGACTAGGTGTATCTTTTATACAGGTACTGAGCTCAGATATAGGAGGCTGAAATAGAAAGTCGAGCCATTTGGCAATCGGTTCCAGCAGACCTTCCATCACTGAAACGATCGATAGGACTCTCTGGTGGTCTAATGGGGTCCTTGTGAATCTTAGGAAGAGTGTATATGATAGGTGTTCGAGGATGTGTCTTCAGAAGATATTGGCTAAGTTGTAAATCCAGATAGCCTGCTTCCATTCCCCTTTTAACGACTGCTTCAACACTCTTTTTAATCGTTTCAGTAGGATCTCCCCTCAATGGCTGATAAACCTTCCCATTTAGTAATTGCTGTGTCAATTCTTCTGCATATTGAGTATAGTCCATAACCACTATCCCTCCTCCTTTATCAGCTGGACGAATGGCTAAGGAATAGTCATTAGCCAAGTCTTTTATACATTGCATTTGTTGGGAGGTAATGTTTCTATATTTACATCTGTGATTATTAATAACTTCCTGTGTAAGGTTATTGACTGTAGAGAGATATGATTTGATAGATGCTTTGTTCGTATATGGATCAAATGAAGCGTGTATGTTTCTCTTGATCCGGAATATTGATAGATGTTTTGGCCGAGTTATGAAAGAAATCCTTAAGACGCATGTGTCTCCCAAAATTGAAGAGTTCAGTATTCCATTTGAATTGATTCGGCAACGATGTGGGTATAAAGGAGAGCCCTCGACTAAGGATTTCAATCTCTTGAGTACCTAGTGGTTTTTGAGACAGATTGAATACAGGAGTTATCTCCGTAAGGGGGGTTTGCCCCGAGTTGTAGATCTTGCCTTTGCCTCCTCTCCTCGTTCTCCTCCTCTTCCTAAACCTCTGCCTCGGCTCCTCGTTGTAGTCCCCAACTCTGTATCCTCTAAAAAAGGAATGGAGTCTCCCTGTGCTTCATTTTCGGATGCTGACTCGCCTGAAGTAATGTTAACAGTTGGTATCTGAGGGCGTCTAATCCTCTTTCTTTGTCGATAGGGTTTGCGCATCCCATCACCTGTAAGCTATCTGTAAACACGGTGGTCAAGGTAATCTTGGCGCACCCGTTCAAATTTTACTTTTTTGAATTTAATTAATTCATTTTTGTACATTAGTAATTCGTCTTGTAATTTATTACGGAGTTTAATACCCTCAGGGGATACCAGTAGAAAGCCCTTGCACTCACGCTTTAGTGAACTGGTAACCGGGTGCTTGAAATCCAGGAAAATTCAAATATATTCAAATAGTGACCAGCACTCTCGGATTTTTGAAGGTTTAAAACTTACAATTTATTAATCATCCATTAAAAAAAGATCAACGTTTCAGTCTCAGCAGGGACTTTCATCAGGATCAGGCAGGTCTGATCCTGATGAAAGTCCCTGCTGGGACTGAAACAATCTTTTTTTAATGGATGATTAATAAACTGTAAGTTTTAAACCTTCAAAAATCCGAGAGTGCTGATCACTATTTGAATATATATATATAAATTTCATTATAAATGTATTTTGATATATATATATATATATATATATATGTACTCTGTGAGGGTTGAAACGTCGATCGGGACAGTTTTTTTTGTCATGTAAAGAAGACACTTAAGTAAAAAAATTACTATTTGAAAATCCCTCCGAGTGCATCTTCATTTCTTCTACTTTTTATCCTACGTGGTTTGCACCAGGCTATCTACTGTTTTTTTCCACACAAAGATGAGTGCCAAGCTGCCTGTGTGTGTGTGTGTGTGTGTCTATATATACATATATGTATGTATATATTACTATTATTATTATCGCCATTTATATAGCGCCAACAGATTCCATAGCGCTTTACAATATTATGAGAGGGAGGATTTAAATATAAATAGGAAAATTGCAAGAAAACTTACAGGAACGATAGGTTGAAGAGGACCCTGCTCAAATGAGCTTGCAATCTATAGCAAGCATGTCAAACTCGCGGACCACAGGCCGCATGCGCCCCACAATTAATATTTTTGTGGCCCGGCGGGCCGCGAGTTTGCAATGCTTACTAAAGCAGAGTAGGCACCTGCTCGCCCCACACTGCAGGTGTCTACTCTGCCAAAATTACCCGGCCAGGGAGGAGAGGTCCCTGGTGGCAGTGAAGGAGCTCAGTCTTCCTGCTCCTCACTGCTCCCTCTTGTGCCCTCTGTAGTGATGCTCCTCACATGCCCTCTGTAGTGATGGCGTGTGAGGAGCAGAACGACTGAGCTCCCGAAAAAAAATCAGGGAGAGGCCCCACACTAGCTCCCAAAGGTAGGGAGCAATACATAAAATTAGTGTGTGCAAGAATGTGTGTGTGTATCTGTCAGTGTGTCTGTCAGAGAGTGTGTGTGTGTCTTTCAGTAAGTGTGTGTGTTTGTTAGTTTTGCGATGGCCGCGGCTGGACAGTGGAGGACCTGGAGGTGCACGGAGGCATTCTGACGTGACGTCAACGTGCTTCACCTTCACATGTTTTCAAGGAGTAGCAGGAGGATCCATTTGGAACAGGATGCGGACGGCGCCATTGGGGGATATACCAGAGGCTGGACTCCAGAGTTGCATATTGCCACGGCAATATGAGTGGAGTCTGCTTGTTGGATAATATTGGTTTTTATTTTTTATTTTGAAACAAGGGCTGGGATTTAGTATAGAGGGTTGCTTGGATTTAGTATAGATGGGGGTGCTACAATTTAGTACAGAGGGGAGACTGGAATTTAGTACTGAGAGGCGGGGGTCGGGGATTTAGTACAGAGGGGGAGACTGGGGTTTAGTAGAGGGGGATGCTGTTTTTTGAATTTATTTTTTTATATGCTGTACTTTTCAAAGCAAACCTACGTTTCTATGAAATTTTTAAGGTTTTGTTTTTTTTGCGGCCAACATAAACTTAAACCTTTTTTATGTGGCCTATGCTAGCCTTTGAGTTTGACATGTTTGGTCTATAGTGTGTGTGTGTGTGTGTGTATATATATATATGTGTGTGTGTGTGTGTGTGTGTGTGTATATATATATATATATATATATACATATATATATATCCAAAAAGTAAGCAAGAGCACTCAATGGTTTTCATAGTGAAACAATGTGTATTCACAATCGCATGTACAGATCAACGTTTCGGCCGTCAAACTGGTCTTTATCAAGATGCTTAACAATTTACATTTACAATGTGCAATATACATAGGAAATACTAAATATGTATATACAAGCATTAGACATCGTTTATTTTTTATTTATTTTTTACCTTGTTCCATTTGGTTGCTGTAAGATCATATTACATGACTTTATTTTAGGTTCTTGGATTATATTTGGATATCACAATTGATAATATATGGTTTCTGTGACATACTGGTTTTGTTTTATATTTTGTTTGTATAGATATATGTAGAGACTTTTTTTCTTTCTGTTTTTATATTCACTCTGTTGATATATATTGATCCTACCTACTAGTTCACTGGTTTCACTTTATCACTGTTTTAGTGTGTTTTTTCACATTTGCTATATGTGTTATATCCTACACTTTATTCATGTACACCTACACACACTCTTACAACTTTTCTTCATATTCCCTTTTTTCACATATTAATTTTTTTTTATCATCTTTTCACTTTTCCCACTTATATGATGATTTGTTTCATCACTCTTACTTTTTTTTACTTTCCTTTCTATTTTCTTTCTTTTATTTTCAGTCTCTTATATATTATATACATAGGCTTTTGTATACATTACATATATATTTTATCCGTTTAGTCACTATTGTCTGATTACTCTTATCATCCACCGGGCATATGGTTTTAATCTCTCCGCACTTCTCCACACTGCACTTTAAGGTTGATAGGCTTCATCACCATATTAACTGGACGCAATCTGGATTTACACGTTGGTAGGGGATTACGTCATCACGTATGTAGGGGAGGTCCATTCATCATATCGGCAGACAGCACACAGTACTGGGCTCTGATGTTTCACCAGGTTTATGGTAAGCTTAATGTTTGATTTAGTATTTCCTATATATATTGCACATTGTAAATTGTTAAGCATCTTGGTAAAAGCCGGTTTGTCGGCCGAAAAGTTGATCTGTACATGCGATTGTGAATATATTTTTTCAATGTGAAAACCATTGAGTGCTCTTGCTTACTTTTTGTATATATTTTATGCGCTGGGAAGCACCCTGGTATTGTATTGAATTTAAGCTAACAAGGGATGAGTGCCAGAAATCTCTACTATATATCTATATATTTTTAGGTCCTTGAGTCCTTTTTATTTTTATAAATAGAAATTGGCAAATCTGATGTTTGACCCTGTAACTTTCCAAGTCACCATAACACCTGTACTTGAGAGGTACTGTTGTACTTGTAAGACATTAATCTACACAAATATGAGTGTTTTAGAGCAGTAAAATGTATTCTACTGATAACATCATCGGTGAAATTGCAGTAAAATCAAAAAAACTAATATAAAACACTAATTTTGTCCAGGGCTAATAAAAAAGACTGGACATACCCCATTTTGAATACCGTGGGTTGTCTACTTTTACAAATGGTATGCCAAGGTGGGGTTAATTTTCATTCCTGGGCTGCCATACAGTCTCAAAGGCAACATAGGCCCAGCAAACCAATCTGGTAAATTTCACTGCGCAAACATGGAAAAGGGGAAAGCCCTACATTTGACTCCTGTAAGTTTCCAAAAACCCATAAAACTTGTACATGGGGGGTACTGTGGGACTCGTGAGACATTTCTGAATACAAATATGTGCATTTTATTTCAGTAAAATCCAACAGTATTATGAGATTCACAGTTAAAATGTCATGCAGAACTTCAAAAATACCAAGATTTTATTCATATTACATATAAATATTTGATATGAAATGAAAGCCCAGTTTCTCCTGAACAAAATTACATATAATAAGTGTGGGTGTACTTAATATGAAAGAGGTGACTTATGGTTAAACCACATATAGAGCAAATATTTAGGTTTTGTTTACATTTTGTTTTGATCACAACTTGTACAATTGGCTCAGTCCTTAAGGGGAAAATCCTTGAATAGCACTATACGTAAAAATCACTTTCATCAATAAAGTATGCCTTTAAAAGCACTAAATACTTTAGTAAA